GGGAAACTTCAGTGGGTTTACTCTAGGAAGAATTATCCGTTTAGTTTAGACCAATACTTAGAAGTATTCCTTTGTTGTTAATTAGGCTGTAGACAAATAAATTTGCACATTTCTTTATGAGACTCTGGGCACATCCATACAGGGTGGAAAATGTGTGCCATTCTGGATTTTTATGTGGGGAATCCAAACAACACCTCACGTAAAAACGCATTAACTTGCCACAAAGCAGGAAAACCCTGCTTTGTGGTGAATTAATTTGACACTGGATTAGATCCAAGTCTTCCTCTGAGGGAGCAGTTCAAACAGACCTCTCAGGTTTTCCAGGATGATTCAGTCCGGAATATCCAAGAGGGCTCTAACACCCTCTCCAACACCCCGAAAAGCTTTAAAAAGTAAAAATTACTTACTTACTCAGCTGGTATTTTCCTGCTACTGGCTCTCTCCTGGCACATGGGGGGGGGGGCAGGAGTGAGTTTCCTCCTCCCCCCCTCCTGGCACATCATTTCTATGGAACAGGAGAAGGGGGTGGAGAAAGAAAATCACTCCTGTCCCCACTTCTCCTGGTGCATCATTTCTACGTGCCAGGAAAAGCACAGGAAAAGCATGTGCTTTCTGGGACATGTGTGGACTCTTATCCATGCCCAATCGGGCGTGAATTAAAGTGCTGTCTGGAACCACCCAAAGTCACCTAAACATAAGATTGTGCTCATAATCATTCCACTTTGCTCATCTTTTGTTTCTGATGAAGTATTTTGCATTGAATTTAGAGGAAAGATCCTATAAAATGTATTTCTGCTATTGGGCCACCACAATAATTTAAGAAAACGTGATGCTGGAATCCTATCTTACCTTCCTTTTAAATTCATTATCTATTTCCCTATTTCCCTTTTCATTTTTCCAGATATAAAATTTGCTGCCTGATGCCAAATATATGGAATGCAATTCCTCAGTGATCATGGGAGATGTTGTCAGACCACAAATCCTCTTATTACAAGCAAACCTTCAAGCTATCCATTAAAATCCATTAATTTCATAGTGTTTTTCTAGGCAACAAGTGGTTTACCATTGCCTTCTTCTGATTAACAGGATGGTACTTCAATATTCCTAACTGTGGCCAGGTTTGGGAATAATGCCTATGCAAATAACATTAATCAGATTTTCAAAATAGTGGCTTCTGATATATATATTTTTAGTGGCAGTTTGCAGGTGAAATTGAATTACAGTATAACCCCCCCCCCCAATATCTGTTGTACCAATATCCATGGTTTCATCTATCCATGTCCAACAAAATGTCCATGTCCTTTTTAGACATTTTCTAATTTCCTCCAGCATGACTCTATAGTATCCTGCAGCTGAAAATCCTTTTTTTCATTAGGGTTCACTATTATCCACAGTTCTGTATATCCACATGAAGTTTGGGAACATATTCCTTGTAGATACAGGAGGCACACTATACAGTATTTGATTTCAATTAGTTATTGTGAAGCAATAGCAGGATACATAAAGGCCGATTCACAAGGACACATATACATATTTACTCAATGAATGGGTTGGAGTCACTAAAATTATTACATTTCAGCTAATGACATACGATATGAAGGGGGGGGTACGGCAACAGTCATCCTCCAGATGTCTTGACCACAGCTTCCCAATAGTGGCAGCCCCCCAAAACACACATGATCCTAACGCTCTATCTATGATGTTCAATCTGACAGGGTGGTTTTTATTCATCAAGTGTCAAGCACAAACTCATCCTTCTTAATAATTAATTCCATTTATGGCCCATCTCTCCTTCAAACAGTTAAGCTTTCTTTTACTTAGGACTATTTTTAACTGAAACTTTCAAAGCACATCCACAATGCAATTTCAAGCAAGTGTCATTTTCCAATCTGTTCCTCGTATCTCCCCAACCTCCTCTCCCCCATCCATCCTTCTAATAGGGAATTATAAAGGATGAAATTTTGTGCAAGAAAGATGCCTCGAAGAATAACAGGTTTTTACATTTTGAAGTAGTTTTGCCCTCCTAAAATATGAAGACCAGATTGCTTCACACTGAAAGTAATAGAATCCCTTCTCTGAACTGCTTGAGGACCAGAAATGTTTAGGATTTCAGATTTTAGAATACCTACATTTGCATATATATACATAATGAGATATCTTGGAGATGGGCCCCATGTCTAAACATGGAATTCATTTATGTTTTATATACACCTTATATATACCTAGCCTGAAGGTAGTTTTAAGCCCAATTTGTTTTAATTATTTTGTTCAGGAAACAAAGTTTGTGTACATTGAAAACAAAGTTTGTGTACAGTGTACAAGAAAGCAAAAATGTTGTTATTTTAGCCAACCATGAGGACTATTGTGGATTTTAGAATATTTCAGAATTTGGAATTCTGGATAAAGCATGCCTGACCTCGTTATGTTTTAATGGTTTTTTGTGGAAATCAGGCAGGTGTGTTTCAGTGTGGGCTTGTGCACCACAGAGGTGATTTGAGGATGAGGGAAATTGTGAGGGTTCTTCAAATCTCCATGCTGAAGGGTTCTAAATGGCAAACTGTCAAAGTTTGTACCCACACCAATGTATACACATGTTTATAATATATATACACATGTATATATGCATGTAGATGAGGCCTACAAAACTTGTGGTCCTCCAAGTGTTTTGGGATTCAGCTCCCAGAATTCCTGATCATTGGATAAACTGGCTAGGGTTTCTGGGGGTTGGAGTCCCAAATACCCATAGGATGAGATGTATATGTGTATGAGCGTGTACCGCATTTCTTTGATCCTAAGGCCCCTGACGACTAGCACTGCTCATTCGCTTCTGCTAGCTTCCCACTACACGGCGGGGATACCAACTTCCCCTGCGACTTGTAACCTTACTTTCTGGATAACTATCATAGTTTGCCCTACATCCAGAGAGCACAACGAACCCCACCAATGATGTATCTAGAGCAGTGGTTCTCAACCTGTGTGTCCCCAGGTGTTTTGGCCTACAACTTCCAGAAATCCCAATTTACCAGCTTTTAGGATTTCTGGGAGTTGAAGGACAAAAGATCGAGGGACCCACAGGTTGAAAACCACTGGTCTAGAACAAACTTGCCCAACATAACAAACTTTAAGTACTGATGGAATTTTTCAGGGCTAACCTGGCATGATATGAGTTGGAGTTCACACACAACCTTATTCATTTTGTACAATTAAAAATAGACTTTTTCAAATAACCTGGGCAACGCTGGGTATCCAAACTTGTATCTTAAATAAATAATATTTTTTTTAGGCAATCCCTTGTTGTCTGAGTAGGATAGTCTTCCAAGATCAGTGTACTGGTGGTGGGTCCGTAGGTGACTGTGGAGCCCTATTATTGATCTGCATGTTCTCCCGCAGTGAGGGCATTGGCTTCCAGATAGAAGGCGGTCCTGGTCAGGGTTGGCTTGATGTGCCTTCTTCTTGGCACATCTCTCTCTTTCGCCCTCCATTTGTGCCTCTTCAAATTCTGCAGCAGTGCTGGTCACAGCTGTCCTCCAGCTGGACTGCTCAAGGGCCAGGGCTTCCCAGTTCTCAGTGTCTATGCCAGAGTTTTTAAGGTTGGCTTTGAGCCCATCTTTAAATCTCTTTTCCTGCCCACTAACATTGCATTTTCCATTCTTGAATTTGGAGTACAGCAACTGCTTTGGGAGACGGTGGTCAGGCATCCAGACAACGTGGTCGGTCCAGCAGAGTTGATGGTGGAGGATCATTGCTTCAGTGCTGGTGGTCTTTGCTTCTTCCAGCACGCTGACATTTGACCACTTGTCTTCCCAAGACATTTGCAGGATTTTCCAGAGGCAGCACTGATGGAATCGTTCCAGGAGTTGCATGTGACGTTTATAGACTGTCCAAGTTTTACAAGTTTCCATATAATAGGGAGAAGTGTTGGGTATGGATATGGAGGTGAGGGGAGGGAGGGAAAAAAGAAGAGGGAGGGAAGGGAGAAAAAAAGAGGGGGTGGATTAAGAGTTGTGAAGGGACAAGGGTGGTGTGAAGGGGGGTGGGGTGGGATGTTGACTTCCCAATCTTCCTTCCGACATTCCTATCCTTTCCTTCTCTTTGTTTCTTCATTTCTAATTGCGGCTCCTCTTCCTGTTGATTTTTTTCCTTAATGTTTGTTAAGATAAATTTTGATTTTATTTTGTCCTACTAATCTTCTAGTAAGACCCTGGTTCTTCCTTGTTTTTATAGGTACTCATAAACAACAGCTTTATAAACAAGCACCTTGGTCTCCCTAGGGATGTCCCGGTCCTCAAACATTCTCTGCTTCATTCAGAAAAAGCTGCACTTGCAGAGCTCAGACGGTGTTGTATTTCAGTGTCAATGTTGACTTTTGTGGAGAAGTGGCTGCCAAGGTAGCGGAAATGGTGAACATTTTCTAATGTTATGCCATTAAGCTGTATTTCTGACTTTGGGAAGGATTGGCTGGTGACTGCTGGAAGAGCACTTTGGTTGTCTTGATGTTCAATGACAGGCCGAGCTTCTCCTATGCTTCTGCGAAGATGTTTAGAGTGGCTTGTAGGTCTTAGTAATGATAATGTGCATGGGTGTATGTACAAAGTGTGTGTATCTCTCTCTCTCTCTCTCCCTCGAAGTGGTGTGTGTGTCTTCACGAGGTAGGCTTGAAGTGTCTTCGAGCTTTCCCTCATGATCCTCACTGCACATGGTAGATCCTCTTTCCTTCAGAGAAGGCATGGGCAAACTTCGGCCCTCCAGGTGCTTTGGACTCCAGCTCCCACAATTCCTAACAGCCTATCGGCTGTTAGGAATTGTGGGAGTTGGAGTCCAAACACCTGAAGGCCAGTTTGCCCATGCCTGTTCATTCTCCACATGTTAACCCCCCTGCCACCCCCCCCGCCCTCGAGGAGAGAAGAGCGAGAAAGCGCGCGAGAAAGCAGATCTGACTAGAAACAGGGGGGAAAGCAGCAGCGTCCTCCCAAGGGAAGCACGCGGAAGAGGAAGAGGAGGAGGAGGAAGAGGAGAAGTTCAAGAGGGAGGTCCGCAGCCTCCCTCGCGCTCTCCTCGCGCGCGGACGGACCCTGCCAACCTCCTTTCCATCCCCACCTAGCGTTCCCTCTTCCTCCTCCTCCTCCTCCTCCTCCTCCTCCTCCTCAGTGAGCGAGGCACGCGTGGAGCAGAAGCARGAGAGGATGCTGGAGAGCCCTGCTCGGCCCTAATTCCTGACTCTTTCCTTCTCTCTCTCTCTCTCTCTCTCTCTCGGAGGGAATCATTGCGTTTGTTACTTCTAAGGGAGGCGGGGAGGGAGCTTCAATGCCTGGCCCGACTCTAGCCGAGTTCGCCGTTCAGAAGGGACTCTAACCCAGCTGCATGGGAGGACATGAACGTGGCGGGGAAGCCGTCTCCTCCCCCTCCTCCGGGGCAAGCGCCGGACCGGCCCGACAGCCTCCTCGTCCCCACTTGGGCAAGTAGCTTCTCTCTCTCTCAATCTCTCTCTCTCAATCCCAATCTCTCTCTCTCGGGTGCTTCCTCTCCYTCTGGGTCTCCCCTTTCCCCTGCTCCTCTGGACGCTTGTGTCTGCCGTGGCTCATGGCTGGGGGACCTTCGGAAGAGGCGCCTTCAGCTCCTCCAATGCCCTACTCCTCGCCTTGAGCCGGGGCACTTCCAGCTGCATCCATGCCCGCCTTTGGCCGCCCAAACCTCCTTCCCTCCTCGGTTGCTCGGGTTTGGGCTTGAAGGAAAGCTTCTCCAACTTAGAGCGAGGGAGGAGGAAGAAGAGGAAAGGATTGCTCAGGGAGGAGGACTTGGGTTTTCCTTTCTGAAGCGAGAGGAAAAACCCCCTTTGAATGGAAGCATCGGCTGCTCTTGTTGCGAGGAGACCTGCATTCAAGGTCCATCTGGCAGGAGGGAGGGGAGAGAGTTGTGTTAAGAAAAGTTAGCCTTCTTGGAAACTGACTTTTTGCTTGGAGTGCAGGTTGCCCTTCCCTGGCACTGGTTCATCTATATCTAGCTATCGGATCTATCTGATCTATCTGTCTACCTATCTATCATCTGTCTATCTGCAAACTTTGTGTTTTGTTTGTTTGTTTGTTTGTTTTTAATGCAGTACAACTGTTTGGTTCGCTCCTGATACGATAAATAAATAAAATCTGTCTATCTAATCTATCTACCTGATCTATCTATCTATCTATCTATCTATCTATCTATCTATCTATCTATCTATCTATCTATCTATCTAATTTCTATCTATCAATTATAACCTGCCTATCTAATCTATCCAGCTAATCTATCTATCTGATCTATCTATCTTATCTATCTATCTAAGGCTGTTAGGAATTGTGGGAGTTGAAGTCCAAAACATCTGTAGGGCTATAGTTTGCCCATGCCTGATCTAATGTATCAAATCTATCTAATCTATCTATCTATCTATCTATCTATCTATATCTGATCAATCTATCTAATCTATCTATAATCTGTCTAGCAAATATATCTTTTATCTAATCTATTTATCTATCTATCTATCTATCTATCTATCTATCTGAATTATCTATTCTATTCTATCTATAATTTGTTTATCTATCTAATCTATCATTCCATCTGATCTATCTATGTAATCTATCTATAATCTGTCTATCTAATCTATTTTTTATGTAATCTATCTATCTATCTATCTGATTTATCTATTCTATTCTATTTATAATCTGTTTTATCTAATCTATCATTCAATCTAATCTATCTATCTGATCTATCTAATCTATCTATAATCTATCTAATATATCTATCTACTCTGACTATCTGATCTATCTAATCTGTCTATCTATAATCTGTCTATCTAATCTGCTTAGCTGATCTATTTCTCTATCTATCTATCTATCTGTCTGTGTATCTATCTTATCTATCTATCTAAGGCTGTTAGGAATTGTGGGAGTTGAAGTCCAAAACATCTGTAGGGCTGAAGTTTGCCCATATCAAATCTATCTATGTAACCTATCTGATGTAGTCTATCTATCTATCTAATCTAAATCTATTTACCTATCTATCTATCTATCTATCTATCTATCTATCTATCATTCCATCTTTGTTTGAAGGAGGCTAAGTAAGATTAGGCAGTCTTCAGTTTTCTTTCCCTGCTCCAGAGCTTCCCTTTCCCACCATGTGCTTTTCTTTCAGTCCTGCATGGGTGCCTCTACACCAGGCATGGGCAAACTTCAGCCCTCCAGGTGTTTTGAACTTCAGCTCCCACAATTCCTAACAACCCATAGACTGTTAAGAATTGTGGGAGTTGAAGTCCAAAACACCTGGAGGGCTGAAGTTTGCCCAAGCCTGCTCTACATTGTAGAATTATTTATTTATACCCCAAAATGGACCTGACTATGGCCTAAATAAATTGATACCAGATGGGGTTTTTAATCTTTTGAATGTTTAATTGTGTTTTTTGTTAGTCACTAATTACGTTGATGTCGGTTTTTGTAATTTTTTAATTAGATATGACTGTGTTTATGACGGTGCTGTCTACTTTTATTGTATGTTATGTTTTTGCTTTCTATATGTTGTTCACCGCTTTGAGTCCTGAACCAGAAGAAAAGCGGATAGAAATAAATAAATAAATAATTTATCTCCCCAAAAAGGACTCAAAGTGGCTTAACATAAAAGCATCAGCATAAAAATTTAAAGATATACAAATATACGGACATTAAAATAGGCTTAAATATATAAGTATTATAAAATTCCCACTTAAAATTCCCAGAATTAATACAGTTTGGCATTACTTTGACTTCCATGGTTGAGGCATCATGGGAGTTGTAGTCAGAGGAGGCACCAGCAATCTCTGACAGCCAAGGCTAAAGACATTCTAAAACTTCAGCTCTGATGATTCCATAGTATTACGCTATTAGCTAAAGTGAGGCCAAACTGCATTTATTCCCCAGTGTAACTGCTCCCTCTCTGTATGTGCATGCAGGACAAGACAATAAGGTGATCCTCATTTTCACAACAGGTTGTGAGCTGTTCAGCAGCGGAACTCTTTGCGCTGGAGTGTGGTGAAGGCTCCTTTGAAGGCTTTTAAACAGAGGCTGGATGGCCATCTGTTGGGGGTGTTTTGAATGTAATTTTCCTGCATCTTGGCAGGGGTTTGGATTGGATGGCCCACGAGGTCTCTTCCAACTCTGTGTTTCTATGATTCTAGGTTGACCATCCCTTATCTGAAAGTGTTTTGGATTGTGGGTTTTTTCCCTTCAGATTTTGGCATACCTGTATTTGTATATACCTTCATAACTCATATACTACACACACACAACCACAAGGCAATTGTATACATTGTATTTTAAATAATTTATTGCATGAAATAAAGTTTGAATAGACGAAACCCTCAGAAAGTAAAGGTGTCACTATCTCGGCCACCTATGTGGCAGTTTTGGAGTATTTGGGATTTTGAATAAGAGATGGTAAACCTGCATTTGAAATATCAGTTAAAGTTTTTCATTCTTGAACAGTAACCCTAAATACCCTTATGCTGCAATGCACTATTCTGCCCACTTAGGAATAAGTCTCATTTAACTCATCAAGAAGATATGCATAGGATTGCACTGTTAATAACTGCACTCCAGCTCACTTCAATCTCTCTTGCCCTGTTTAGGACTGCAGTCTTTGATGAGCATGTGTATGTTTTTCTCCCCTTTTCTTTTAATCTAATCTAATCACTAGGTCAGCTTAAATAGAGTTTATATTGAGTTCCCTGCTCCCATCCTCAGAGCTGTTTTGCTAGATCTGCAGCTTCTTGAAATATTTTGTAAAGTGTGGGATACCTTTTCTGTTAAATAATAAATTCCATCTTACTTTGATGTGTTCAGATCATTTAGTTCACAAGGAAGACTGTTAGGGAATCTTTTCATTCCTCCCCAGCATTAAAAACAATTAATTCAACTCTTTCACTCCAAGTGGCAGGTTAAAATTTCATCCTGTTAGTTGATGGTGAGGGGGAGAGAACGCCTAACACCTAATTGAGCAGACAGAGTTTAACAGTAACGGTTAGATGTATTTAAGCTATCGATTTCAATGGGAAATGAATATATATGCACATAACCATTTACTAGAATTGCCCATTATCTGTATTGCTGTCTTGAATTATACTATAATGATTCATTTTGAGGGTGGTTTTTTTGGTATTTAACTGTTAGAAAGTGGTGCTAGTTATGTTGCAATTGGACATCTTTTAAGAAATCACAGAAAAGTGGCACAAAGCAATGTAAAAAACCTATCTTATGCCAAGTCAGAGCACTTCTTAGTCTAACCCAGTATCATTTACTCAATAGATTCCAGTCTAATTGGCAGATTTCATATGGAGATATATAACATGCTGTCTGATCCATTTACTTAGACCAGAGGTTCTCAACCTTTTTTTTTTTTTACTAGGCACCACTTGACCTGAGACCACTTTGACCAGGGACCACTCTCCAACATTATTACCAAAAGGGTTACGAATCAGTTTTTGGCCAACTTTAGATTTGGTTTGATTATTTAGGGTGCTGATTCAGAAAATTGCATTGGATATACCACATCAGATCTAGTTCGTGATACAGAACATATACCACCCAGGAGTTGGCATCTCCTTGCCCACAGAAAACCATATATAATAAGCCTCAGCCACTATAAGAGGGTTTCGCGAGACCAGTCACTCTTGTTGCAACAGTGTAGTAATGCTGAGGCGGCGGATGATATTTTAGTTCTTGAGGACCAATGGTGGTCCATAGACCACAGGTTGGGAACCACTGACTTAACACAGGAGGGACTGATCTGATGAAGTTAGGCACACAAAACATGTGCACTTTCAAAGAGCTTTATTTGCTTTGAGTATGTCACCATGCATCACCTAACTATGTCAGGTTGTAACTCTCATGATTCTTTATTACTGACAATGCTGGCTATGCAAGTTGAAATCCAACAATATTGGTATAGTCACAGTTGCTCATTTGTTGTTTATAGACATTCTCATGTACCTGTTGGAAACACCGTGATACTCTTTAAAAGCAGAAGCATGGATGTTTCAAATTGTGCCTTATAACTTTTATATTAGTTAAATGAGGTCATGGTATTATTTATGCAGGGCATGGAAAAAAACTAAAAAGGGTGAACTCTAGTTATCATCCAATGGAGAACAATCCACAAATGCCAGGTGTTGTAGGCCATAATTCAGGGGAACTGGCAAAAACCACCTCTGAGTATTCCTTGTTTAAGGAAACCTTATAAACTTACCATAAATTGGCGCAACTTGGACGTGCACACACACATGCAAACACCTAGAGAGTTTCATGTGCAGTTGATAGGTGCTTTTCTGTTATTTCTCAAATCAGATATTAAAGTAAAAATAGTCCATTAAAACTTAGCCTTTTCCAATTTTTGGGGAATGTACAGAAACCTTGTAAAGAAACTGTTTTTAAAAGTAATATTATCATGAATCTACCCCAA